TGCCCTGGGCACAGGTGAGCCGGGGCCTGGAGGGTGGAGGGCTAGGTCCGTGACCGCACGTCTCCTTCCCGCCCCCGCGCAAGGGATGTGGCTTGGCCCGTGGCCTGCTGGTGTTGACTCCCCACCGCCACCACCACGGCTGGTGGACCTGCCTGGGGCATTGCCCCCTTCTTTCGCCCCTTGTAATGTAGCTGACCGTGGCCTGCCCCCCCCCCTTCCTGTTTAGTAGTGGATCGGTCTGCGTGCTTAGATTTCTCCCCACCTCACTTTACAGTGGATTCGTCCATGGTCTTGCGCCCACCCCCACCCCCCCATCCTCACTCATAGGGGACCAGTCTTTGGCATTGTCCAACTGGGACAGTCGGTCCTTCTGAGTGGATTTCTCCTTTCCTCAACTTTCAGGGGCCCCGTCTGGGACCCTGTTTGCTCCATCCCTCCGGTTCCCTGTAGTGAATCAATCCGTGACGTTGTACCCCCTCCACTCCTCTTTAACATTAAATTAATCTGTGAATTTGTATTCCTGCCTCCTCCAGTCCCCCAGTACATCTGTCCCATGGCTCTGTCACACACGTGCGCACACACCATTTTCCAGTGGATCAGTCTAAATGCTTGTATTCACAGCTCCCTACTTATCAGCCTATTCCCCTCTCCTCCCTCTTCTGTAGACTGACACTCCTTGGGTCCTTGGGCTTCTCCCTTCCTGTTAACAATGGGTCAGTTTAGTGCTTCATATCTCCCCGTAATCAGCAGCCCAGTCCATGGCCTTGTCCGTCTCCTTTTAATCAATCTCTGAGATGACTCCCCCCCCCCTCCCCACTATTGTGCAGCTGTGGTTCTGTTTTTCTACACCCCTTGCCCAGTAAATAAGATAAGCCTTTACACCGCCACCACCCCTCCTTTGCAATGGATCTGTTCATGAGCCTTCCGGCTATCCATGTGCTTGCAGTCACAGCCCAATGCTTTGCAATCCCTCCTGCAGGAGGGTCAGCCTGTGTGCTTTTATTTTCCCTTTCCTTTCCTTGTGGTGCATCAGTCGTGGCCGTCCCTGAACCCCTCCCTCCTTCTTAATAGTGGATCAGCTTATCTGCTTGTTGAACCCAAGTCTTTTTTACTCGAGAACACCCCCCTCATGCACACTGTTAACCATTAAGACGTTCTTCCTCACAGTAAATGAACATAGTAGTGATAATGCTAACAGGAGCTAACATTTATTGAGCACCTACTGACATTTATGAGTACGAGGCAAAGTGTTTTATCTTAATGAGCTCATTTAATCCTCTCTATAACCCTGCTAGATAGGTGCTGAGGAAACTTTGGCATAGGGAGGTTACTAGTAAATACCTTACTCAAAGGTGACCCAATAAGCACCAAGTTAGGGTGCCCCTCGGGACACAGGATAATTTTTGAGGCTCCCCTTTCTGCTCATCCCATCCCATGTGAGGCCCCACTCCTTAAAAACCAAGTTATTTTTTATTGATTTCAGAGAGGAAGTGAGAGGGAGAGAGAGATAGAAATATCAATCATGAAAGAGAATAATTGATCAACTGCCTCCTACACACCCCACACTGGGGATGGAGCCCACAATCCAGGCATGTGCCCTGACCAGGAATTGAACCATGACCTCCTGGTTCATAGGTCCCTACTCAACCAATGAGCCACGCCAGGAAGGCTCCATTGCCTAACTTATCTCAGCATCCTTCCATCCCCAATCCCAGAAGCTGTGTGACCTTAGTAATTTAACTATTTTCTCTCTGCACCTGTTTCCTCATTTGTAAAATGGGGGAGGGGGTCAGAACTAGAATCCCCTCCGGTGTAAGTAAAGAATACCTGTGAGTTAATAATGAAGCAAGTAGCCCTAGCTGGTTTGGCTCGGTGGATAGAGCGTCGGCCTGCAGACTGAAGGGTCCCGGGTTCGTTTGATTATGGGCACATGTCCGGGTTGTGGGCTCGATCCCCAGTGGGGGTCCTATAGGAGGCAACCAATCAATGATTCTTATCATTGATGTTTCTGCCTCTCTCTCCCTCTCCCTTCCTCTCTCAAATATATATATATAGATATATATGCGCAAGTAACTTCTCTGGCCTTATCTCCTACACTCCAGCCACACTGACCTCCTCACTTGTCCTCAAACTCACAGTGGTCCAGCCTCGGGGCCTTTACATTGGCCATTTTTCCTGCCCAGAACACTTTGTCCCCTGGTCATGGTTCCTTTTGGGACTCTGTTCAAATGTCACCTCATCCCTGACCATCTCAACCTGCACACCTAGCAGGGCTGAGGCCCCTTCTCTGCTTTATTTCATCCTTTGCCCTTTATTACCGTGGCTCACACTGTATAGTTGACCAGTTTATTGTGTTGTCTCTCCCCTTTAGAAGTCCCATGAAGGCTTACAGTTTTTGTCTGCTTAGTCCTGCTGGGTCTCCAGCACCTAAAAAATATCCCTGGTATATAGCAGGTGCTTAATACAAATTTATTGCATGAATGAATGGGAAAAATATAACTTCAGACAGGTCAGGGTGGGGAGCAGATGGGAATGAAGAGGGCATTTGAGAGCTAGTTAAGAGGCTAGTTAGATGGGACTGTTCATTCATCAAACACTTTACTGAGCACCTAGTAAGTACCAGGCACTCTTCTAGGTGCTGGAGATGTGGGAGGGGAAAAAATAGGCAGAAATTCCTGCTCTTGTGGAACATACGTTTGTTAAAAGTGGAGGAGACAGACTATATAAATAAAACAAGTAAAAGATAGTATTTTAGACAAGTGCTAAGGAAGAAAAATGAAGTAGGGAAGGTAGGAATAGAGTAGGAGGGTGGTTAAAATCTTAGGCATAGGGCAGGCCTCATTTAGAAGGTGGCTCTTGAATTAAGGCCTGAAGGAGGTCAGAGAGGGAGGGAGCCATATGTCTAGTGGAAGAGTACACCGGACAGAAGGCACAGCTGATGCAAAGGCCCTGAACTGGGATTGCGCCTGGCATGTTCAAGGCACACAGAGGAGGCCAGTGTAGCTGGAGCAGAGTGGAGAGAGGGATTGGAGGCGAGATCTGAGATATAAGGGGAGCCAGGTGGTAAATAGGTCACAGTGATACATAAGGTTGGGGTGGAGGGGTTTGGGGAGGGAGAAGGATGACAGACTAGCAAATAGCTAACACCTCTTGAGTGTCTCCTATGTGCCAGAGATACTTTTCTAAGTCCTTTACATATATTGACCTTTAATCCTCACAAACGCCTTTGAGAGTAGGTGTATTTTGAGGATAATGTACTCTGAGAATGAAATATCCCCATTTTACAGATGCAGAAACAGACTCAGAGAGGTTGAGTAACTTACTCAAAGTCACACAGCTAGAGCAGGGCCGAGGAGTATGAGGCTGAAGACCCAGAGAGAAGAACAGCATTGCAAGGACAGACAGGTTATTCAGTGCGTTGGATCACAAGAGGAAGAATTAATTCTGCCTGGAAGATAATGGAACTTAATGATCGTGTGATAAAGGGTTCATCGTAGGGCAGGGAGAAAGGTATGTACATATCCTCAGAAATGGGAACTGGGTGAACTCACAGGGTGTCCTTGATGTGGTATGCCAAGCGTGTGCC